AGTCCACATGTGTCAAATGCCCCAATTTGAGTCAGGTGCCCACTCCCTGCACTAGTCTCTGAAGAGCTAGAATAGCTGGTTCCTTTACTAGCTAGGAGCTGAGGTGTGGGTCCAGCCCTGCACCCAGGCTCCTGCATGCCACTCTTCCATGGAACGGGAACCGGGGGTGCTGACAGCCATTCTGGTTCCATGAGCAGCAGGAGCTGTTTGTGAGCAGCACCCATGGGCTGGTCCAGCTCTCCCTGTACCGCTGCGAGCTCTACGGCAAAGACTGCACGGACTGCTGCCTGGCCAGAGACCCCTACTGCACCTGGGACGGCAAGGGCTGCAGCCCCTACCGGCTGACTGAGAAGAGGTGAGCCCAGCCCTGCTTCCTTCACACAGTGTCCACCGTTCCTGGCTGTTTGCATGGAGGTGGGAAGAGGGAATTCAGGGCTGGTTACACACCCTGCAGTCCGGAGCCTCTCCCCAGGGGCCATGGACACTACCCACTGGACCAGACATTGCACTGGCTTCTCCCAATCAACCCAAGTCAACAATACAGAACCGCAGCAGCCCCTGTCTGTTCTTGTCTGGGGCCTTCCAGACACCCACCTGCCAGTGCCCATCCATCCAGCCCTGCAACCTCCTGCTATTCCAGCCTGAGCCCCCACAGCCCTGCCAGTGCCCCTCCATCCAGCCCTGCACCCTCCTGCTATTCCAGCCCTGAGCCCCCACAGCCCTGCCAGTGCCCCTCCATCCAGCCCTGCAGCCTCCTGCTATTCCAGCCTGAGCCCCCCACAGACCCATCAATAAATCTCCATTTGATGCATGCCCTGCAGCAGGCGCCTGGCTCACTGAGTGCGTTGTCTCGTTCCCCTCCCCACAGGCAAGCACGCTGCCAGGATGCGCTGAAGGCCGACCCGGTCAGTCAGTGCCAGGACACCACAGCGGGTGAGAATCAGGCACTGCGGCACCCCTCTCCCAGCGGCTGCATGCTGCCTAGCATGGGCTGTTCTCTTCAGCCATGGAGGAGGGAGCAGGTGAAACTCGAGCATGCCTCGGGTGCCTCTAGTAGGACTGGCCATGGGCAGGGCAATCCCATCCCGTGATGGAGACATTGCACCAAAGCCACATCATGGTGCATTTGCACGCTGTACCACTGCACCATGCAGTGGGCTGAGCACTGGGGTGCTGATAGCCCCAGGAAGGGCCCCCCCCACCTCCCCAATGCTGGCAGCAACATACAGGAGCAGCTATCCCCAGCAGACACACAGCAGCACCACCCCCAGGCTCAGACAACACGCTTCCTCCAGGAAGTGTTGCTTGCAAAACTGAACCCAGCTCAGTTCCAGGGCACAGGGTGTGAGCAGATCTAGTGCCAGGTGGCCATTGACATGGGGCTGGGTAATTAACCAGCAAACAGTGAGCAGAGCAGAGTACCTTGGGATGGCCAGCTCCATTTCCATAAATGCTGTCCCCCTTCCAGTCACTCCCCGGTGCGCCATCAGCCTGACACTCTGTTAGCGTGCCAGGCTGGGAAAGCCGGGATTTACGCTGCTCTGCAAACAGCATGCCCTCCGCCTGTGCTCTGGGCACTGCCAGCTGCATGTGTGCAAAGACAAGGTACAGCAACTCACTTCACACACACCCAGGCCCCTTTTCATGCAGCAAAAGGTGGTTGTATCATTGCCAATTACAATTCTGCCCTCCTGCCCCACTGGCTAGAGTACTTTGCACACACATGGCGCTCTAGCTAGAGATGGCCCAGCCGGAATGTGGAACTCTTTCACCCAGTGTGCGGGGCTACTGGAGCAGATGGGGCAGGGCTGCTCCAGGGGATTAGAGCAGCAAAAGTTGTGGGGCTGGTTTAGAGAGGCTGGGGAAGGGGCGGGTGCTGGTTCAGGGTGTGGAGAGACTTGATGCAGCAGGACTCTGCTCCCCCCACATGCACATGATCTGCTCTCCCCCTTGCAGGGGTCACTGCAACTGAGGAGAAACTGGTATTTGGGGTGGAGAACAACACTACTTTCCTCGAGTGCCTGGCGCGCTCTCCCCAGACGGCCATTCGGTGGCTCGTGCAGCGCAGCAGGGAGGCAGCCCTGGATGAGGTACTTGGGGAAGGGAAAAGCTAAATCATGGGGAGTGGTATGACCAGACTCCCACGCTCCTCCCCAGTCCCTCAGAGGGGGTAGGACGGGGGGACGCTGCCCAGGCTGGAGCCTGGCCCATTGCACAAGCAGCTCAGCCGGCACAGTCAACGCCACCATCCCCGATTGACGAGCAGAGCATGTCACAAGCTGCAGCCCTGGTGCCATGGCAACAGCCCATGGGTAGCATCTCAGGGCGCTCTGCTTTTGTCCCCTCCCTGTATCTGCCCCAGGTGAGGACCGGTGACCGCTTCTCTATCCTGGAGCAAGGACTCCTGATCCGCCAGCTGGCAAGAGAGGATGCTGGGGTCTATCAGTGTCAGGGAGTGGAGCGTTCCTTCTCCCGCCCCCTCATGCACTACAGCCTTCGTGTCATTGGCCACAAGGCCATGGGGGCCAAACAGAGCAAGGGTGCCGAGGAGGGAGGCAGCCACCTGAGCGCCATGCCCGTGCAGCTCCAGTACAAGGGCTACCCGCGGACCCTGGGGGCACCGGGCACCAGCCTAGACGAGTACTGCAATGCGCTCCGGCACCAGGAGAGGCAGCGGCAAAAGGCCTGGAACCCGAAGTGGCAGCAGCATTCCTTGGAGAGCAAGAAAGGCCGAGTGCGGAGGCATCCCGACCCCCTGAAGCCAGCCAGAGCTGGGCTGAGACTAGTCTGATCTCTGCACAGTGCCCCCTGGGGGGCGTCATTGAACCAGTCTCCATTAGCCAGCCACATCTTCTGAATGCACAGCCCTGGACACAGGTGCCAGCTCAGCCGCTGCCAAACTCTGCCTGCTGAGAGGCCCAAGGACTCGCCATGTACTACCTCAGCCATGACACTGCCCTTTGCCATCTCCTGGAGCCTGGGGAGGGCCAGCGGACAGTGCAGATGCACTCAGACACCCCCAGACCAATGGGGCTGCTAAGTCCAGGAGGTGCTAGAACAGGGACTTCGCAGCCACGGCCTGGAGCAAACAGTCTGGTTACTAGACCGGCTGACACAGACTGAAGTGACGCGAGGACTTTAAACTATTTACATACCGTGAAATATTTATTCTCTGCATTTTTCTTCTGTCATTTTCTTATTACGCCTCTTTTTATTAATGATAAATACTGGAAATTAAATAGAATGGAAACCCATGCTTCTTACCAGCCTCCCTCGTTATGGGGAATTGATACCCAGCCTCAGTAATACACTTCTCCCTCGGCCCTGGTGGAGTACAGAGCCCCCAGTCCCTTCAGGTAAGCATTGCAAGTCAGTTAGGGAGGATGATCCACATGAGCTAGTGGATAGGGCACAGGCTTGAGGAGGGAGGAGTTTGGAGTTCGGTCCCAGAAGTGCTACGGACTCAGTGTTCGGTGCGGGGCAAAATGGGAACAACCATAATTACCTCCCTCACTGCAATGTTTAACTAGTTATATTTTCCCCTTTACCAGCCATCTGGTCTTGTCGGAGAAACCCTCTGCAGTGCTGCACTGTTCTTGTGAGACCGAGGCAGCTGGAATGAGTCTCCCTGCAGAATGGTACCAGTGCTGGGAACTCAAAAGTCAGTCTTGGGCACCAGAGAGGCAAAGCATTAATCAGGGAGGGTTCCTGCGCAGGGATCCTCCAACCCTGGAGAAAACCAAATGACATACATGTGGGGACATTCATCCCCTTGTGTCCGACAGGCCATTTACTGTGATGGAGGCAGCGACAGATGTTGTGAGGCCATGACAAGAAAGGACATTATACCCTGCAGGCAGGCTCAAGGCTGTCTCTTGCTGGCAAAAGGATATTAAACCTTCAGCATGGTATAAAAGTGGGAACAGGCTGTAACTGGCCCCATCCCAGGAGGACGACAGTTTTCTGGTATCATGGGCTGGGACATTAATATACGCAGCTTTGTTGGCCAGGCTTGGAGCCTATCTGAACTAATCTGTACCTTAAGACCTTTTGGAGCCCCTCAAGGACAGGACAGACAACAGTTACCCCCTTCCACTCCTTTCTTCTAAGGCAGAATTTTAGGACCTTGTGAACATCCACCACATGGAGTTGGCATAGCTGAGGCTTGGGACAGAAGGCACGTAGGGAATTACACTGGTTGGTGTGAAAGGCAGAGCTGAGTTGACTGTCAGAATGAGATTTGAGTCTCAACCCTCAAGGAAAAGTGGAGAAATGTTCCTTAATGGAAAAGGCCCAGAGTTTGCTAACTGGGCGGGGGAAGGATGGGAACTTGGTGATACGAAGGTGGAGGACCTTGTGACATGTCTGCCTTATGGGGAAAGGGCTCTGAGGGCTCGCGCCAGAACAACTAATTTAGGCCCAGCCCATTCTTGAAACCTGAAAAGAGGAAAATCAAGGTAGTTGGGACAGAGGTGGCAGAACAGGTCTATGCTGGGAGTCCCCTTCTTGCAGCTTCCCTCTCATGCTGGGAGCAAGAACATAAGAGCACAACTGATTCACAGCAACAAAGGGAATAAATCCCTTGCAGTAAATATTCTGCCCTCTTACTTGTACAAAATAATGGAGTCTTAATACCAAAAGTCCTCACTGCAGCCCGAGGATATTAAACATTTGCTGAAAAGAGGCATGATTCTGTTGGGATAGTTCTCAAATAAAGTATGCACAATCAATTTTCACGTATCACCGATCAAAGTGAAATTTACCACAGCCCCAATTCAGCAAAGCACACGCTTAAAATTAAGTCCCGTTGAATTCAATGGGAGTTAAGCACATGCCTATGTGCGTTGCTGAATCAGAGGCCTGACATCCTAAATGCACCAGGCTTTGTTTCTCTAACTCCAGTGCAATCGGACTCACTGAACCTCTTCCCAGCTCCCTGGCTCCGTCAACAATTTGTGAACACACAAATCCAAACCAAAGTCATTTCAGACAATAGTCTCTGTGGGGTTTTTTAATTTTGTAAGTTTATTTTATCAAAAAGAAGAGAGAGAGAGAGAGAGAGAGCGCCAAGCGGCAGTTATACCAACTTACAATTTATTGATTTTTTAAAAAATGACATGAAACACAAGTAAAAATAAATACATCATATAAACAACAAATTGTTCAAAGTCTCTGTTCTGGGAGATCAGTGAGCACGCCTCGTTAGACAGAGAGAAGAGGGAAGCACATGATCATGTGTGCAGCCGGCCAACCGACCCACCCTGCTACAGTAACTCCTCTTTCTGATCACAAAAGACAGGCCACAAACTAAGGCGGTATTAAAAACAGAAAAAACAAAATAAAAAACAAACATTATCAATGGATTCGCTCACGCTCCCCTATACAAGCAAATCTACCAGAGAGTTTCTGAATGCAAGCTGGATGGCTAACAATACAGGACCCAAGACACAGTGCAGCTTTGGGCAGCTGTTAGTGGTATTGTTTCAGTACAGGGGGAATAGGGTGGAGCATATGGGGATTTCTTTTCTCTATTCCCTCCACCCTACACAGTTGATCACCCCCCACTTACAACATCCTCTCCCTTTGCAAATGGGTTTCTTTTCCTATTCAGCTTGCAAGGAGCCATTCCCAGTGTATCCTAGTTGGTCTAAATTCCCCCCACCCTCCTTCCCGCTCAAATTTGGACTACCTGATCTCACTTGAGAGAGCAAAGAAGCACATTCATTGTGAATGGAGTTGCTGTATTTTGCCCCTTTCTGTTCGCAGAATGTCCACAGACCATGATTTTCTCTAATTTAGCAATTATTTGAAGTTATTAGCCAACATTTATCTGCTTACTGGTGCAAATGTCCATGAAAAACCAACCTGAATTTGCTTGCCAGAAGTATTCAAATGGGAGAGCGCCCTTTCACCTTGCACATCAGTATTTGTACTAGTGAAATTCAATCGCATGATTGTTCCCGGAGAGCAAAACGCAAAGTGAATTCTTTCATTCCCAGCAAAGCTTGAGAGAAGCTCGTTTGGCAGTTTTTGGAACTGAATGTGAGATGCTCCATCCTGCAGAACTGCGTGAACATACATTGCCCAAGACTGGACTGAGATTAGGTACATCCTAGAAAACTCACAGAAACATCACAGTTATGAGGTCACCTCTTCCCCTAATTCTGTCTTAGTGTCTTGTAGCAGTACAGTGTGGAATTTGCCCTGATATCCCTGCTGCTCCAGAAACTGCCATCTAAACAGTTCGGCCTAAGTAAGTAAAATCTACTCATTATAGCTAGATAGTGACTGAAAGGGGCAGCCAAAGTGCAACCCAAGTATTCCACAAGTCCCCAGGGCTTCTGTGCTCTGCCCAGGAATCTTCCTTAGTGTCCAAGTGCTTATCAGAGAGCCCCTGTTCCTACTCTCAGTGTTATCTGCAGCACAAATATGAACTATAAGCTACTTTGGTCAGTCCATTTGGAGTCAGAAAATTAGCAGAGACAGCCCCATCACAGGGGTCAGGAAAGCAAAGAGAGGACCTATGTGTCAGCTAGAGAAAAGAGGAGTCTGGAAAGGAGAGATCAGGGAAAGAGAGAAGACTGAGGGTTGTGGAGGAGGAGCGAGGAGACTAGGGCCTAGTCTATACCTAAAACTTAGGTCCACCTAGCTATGTCGCTCAGGACTGTGAAAAATTTCACACCGTAGTTAGGTCGACCTAACCCCCAGTCAAGACACAGGTAGGTCCATGGAAGGATTCTTTCATCCATCTAGTTTCCCCCTCTCGGAGAAGTGCAATACCTACGGCGATGGAAAAACTCTTCCATCCATGAAGAGCCTATACTAGGGCGTTACAGCAGCGCAGCTGCAGCGCCACAACTGTGCCACTGTAGTGGCTGTAATGTAGACATACCCTAGGTAAGGAAGTGTTGTGGAACAGGATTCAGAGAGGTCTCCATTGTCAATACCACCTCTGAATGTCCAAGATATTCTTGAAGATTATACAGCATCAGATAAAGGACTTTCTGACCTTCTATGCAAAAGTCATTAAACAATTCTGATTCCTGGTCTCCGTCATTAAACAGTTCTGACCCATGGTCTCAGTCTGCATTCCCTGCACTTCATGTACTCAGAATCACTGCCAGCCCTCTGGCACAAGAAGCTGCATCTTCCTGGAAGATGTTGCACACCCAGTGGATCTCAATGGTCAGCATCTGGGAGATGGGGGCTTTATCAGCACTAACAGAAAACTAAGGCAGAGGAAATCACCTTCACAACCCTTCCTTCACTCCAGGTGACGAGATCATCTCTCCCAAAGGTTGTGATGCCCCAAATCAATGGGGTTTCATCTTTAAACCACTAGCTAGCTTTTGGGAGATGACGCATGGAAACTGGGAGGGTTTGTGGGGGAGGAGGTAGTCTGGATTGAGCATTTGTCAGGATGGAGCGGGAGGGAGAGAGGGACCCACCCACCAAGTGCTGGCTGGGGTACAGGATGGGGGTTCGACCCAGGCACTTGTGGGGCTAATTAGTCTCCAGTAGTTTATGGAGGATGTGCACTCTAAGCACTGAATGTACTACGAACAGATAGGAGGAGACAGAAGTTTGCCAGGGACAGAGAAAGGTCCCTGTTTACAAGAGTCAATTTAATACGGGAATCTGCACAATGCAAAGAGCATTAGTTTTCCTAGCTTTCTTGACTGAATACAAAAACCAGTGTTCAAAACAAGCACATTTTTAAACCTACTTGCTTGCGGGAAGTAAATATTCCATGTGAAACAACACTGTCATCCAGTGGCTGGGGAAGTAAATTACAGGGGTCCATTTCCTATGGCTATCAAAGGATCCATCAGTCACCAGTTCCTATGGCTACAGGGCTTGGTTAAATTAATCCCAGGTGCACCTATTCCTGTGAACAGAAAAATTCCCATATTCCACCCACCAAAGTGAGGGTGTGCCAGAGGCCTGCCCAATTCAGTGCCTTCCAAAGTGCCCTCCAGAGGCCTCTGGTGCTTTCCTTGTGAGGCAATGAGCAAAGTCCCCGTGAAAGCTACTGCAATTACAGGTACAGCATCCAGAACCATACGTTAACCTACTGTTTAAAGTCAAATCTTCATGCCTCATCTGAGCAGAGAAAAGACACAAAACATGCCCTCGTTACAAAGAACTAGCAGGATCATTCAGATTAAACGTGCTACCCTGGCACAAACAATGAAGGAACCATAATCCATGCCAAAGGACTCTGATTAAAAGGTCTGCTCTAACCCTAAATCAACTGTTGCCTTCCACAAGTATTGTTTAGATTTCCTGCAGGTCTGAATCCTCGCTACTCATGACAAGAAACCCCCTTGCCTAGGTCCACTTCCCAAATCCACTGGAGTTTCTGAGAGCCTTACAGAGATACAACAGACAGCTGTAATACAATCAGCGTCACAGTATTTTGCACAAGATGAACACACAAATTGCAAAGGGCATGACTCAGAGATGCAGCACTGTCAAGTCTTTGGAGAAATTTGCATGGACACCATCAGTTAGTTTACTTTGTTATTGAGGGGTGGAGTGGAAGGGGGAGTTTGTTTGTTTATTTCCATGGTGCATCCAAAGACAAGTTGTTCAGAAGTTTGCTCAGAACCCCTCGGTTTTCAACTCCTAGGATATGTTAAAGAAGAAAGCACTATTTCAATGTTTGTTTTTTAAAATAATTTGCATAGCTAAACTGTAGATCTAAGGCTTCTATGAATGATGTGGTTATGTCTGACAGACAAGTTCCATTAAAACAGAGAATGACAGAGAGAAAGCCCCATAACGTCCTACTTTTGTCATGGTACACACAAATACACGCACTGCACCACCTTCCCTTGATAAAGCAGTTCCCCTTTCTTCACAGCTACCTTACACAATATGCCAGAATGCCTTGTCCCTCCCTCCTGAGCTGGTCTGAGTAGATCTCAATAACCATGCTGAAGCATCAGCATGGACCACTTTCCAAAGACATTCATAGTCTCTCTCTTTCCCTGAGGTGGTGACATTTAGGTCCAGATCCTCAAAGGTATTTAAGATTCTAAACTTCCATTGAAGTCAATGGGATTTAGGAGCCTACATCCCTTCAAGGATCTGGGCCTTTGAGCAGGCATTGAGTTTCCAAGATTACTCAGCAGTTATCAGTGCATGTGCACGCACACAGCGGACAGGATGGCAGGCCATCTAGCTCAGGTGCCCAAACTCATGTAAATGTGGCATTTCAATGCCAAGAGCATGATTTGAATGCAGACGCCGAGAGGTGAACTGTCAGTGCAATTTACTCTCTGTGTTAGAGGCATTCTCTCGCCTTTTACTCTCATGTGACACCTCCAGTTGGGAAGGGCTGAAGCCCAGCAACAGCGCTCCACATGTCAGCCAGGGGGTCTGTTAAACCAACAGGAGCTCAAGCCTGCTGCCACGAGATCCCCAAGCCCACCTATCATGAGCCGAGATAACCAATCTCTCAGAGAGATAAGGAATCACTTTAATTTCTCAGCTGCCAGAGTGATCCCAACCCCAAGACCAGAGGTGTCTCATTTTCCCTTGTACTGCATGGACAGACACTGTAACAACTACCCCGGGCTACTGTCACATGCTCCCCCAAAGAGGTGTATATGGCACAGGCAATGCCACATCATTGTAACAGAACCAAACAAGGGAGCTGGCTACTGGGGAACGTTCACAGTTGGTCCTGCTTTCAGATTATGCTTTGGTCAAATGGTCATTAGGGCTCATCTCCCCCATATGGACAATCCAACAATCAACTACTGCATTATGGAGACCAGCAGGTTTGTTTTTCTTTTAAACAACACAATTAATAAAACATAGAAAGAAACTCCCCAAACAAATAAATATTTGCCTTCATGAAATAAATTAATGTAGAGATTCTGCGGAGGGGGCAGTCGCTCCAGTCACAGAGTCAATGGAGACGGGTGCTGAGTCCGCAATGGTATCCCTTTTCAACCTGTCCTGCTGGCTGGGGTTGATAGGAATCAAACTGGTCCACCTGCTCCCCCCCGAGGCCTCCTCCTGGAGCCTGAGGGCATACCCCTCAATAGCCTGGTGAGGCAGCCATCACTGAAAGAGACGGAGGAACTGGGAAAGTCCCCAGAATTCCCCTCGAACCACTACAAGATTTAAAGGATTCCTAACCCAACCCAGGCTCGAGAAGCCAACACCAGAACTACTAGGGTCACTGCCTTCAGAGGGCTTCATAGAGAAGGCCCCCTGGGGGAGCAGACTGGAGAGTCATGTCACAGCTCAGCATTCTCCCCACTCCACACCTCATCCTCCAGCAGGGGCCTGGCAAGAGCTGTCAGATTATTGTGTTTTGAATTTTTAAGAGGATGAAAAGACAAATCGGTTTTCACACTGACCCCCCCCCACACACCCTTTACCCTCCCCTCCTACACAAACGACATATAGCCTGCTCCTCCCCAACCCCAATTAAAAATGCTCTTCATCGAGACCCTCTCCTGGGGCACACCCCCAGCTCGTGCCTCCTTGAGCGAGAAAAGTTCACAGATAAGGCAGTTCGCGCGAGAGGGAGCTCTTCAAAAACACAGAGATCAACTCAGTGTCTCCAGGCCTGAGAAGGGGCACTGAATCGCAACATCAAGGCTCCCTTTCGGATAACACAGACAGACACACGGACAATGCAGGAGAGGAAGCAAGGGAGGCACTCCTATGGTTTGCATTGCTGCCCCCCACTCTTGCAAGTCCGTTCAGGTTTTGTTCTCCCCACCCTCCCTCCCCAATACAATGCAGATCCTTGACATCTAAAAACGTCTCCTCCTCCAGCCCTGCTGCCATAGCTCAGAGGTGAAATCCTGACTCCAGAGAGGTCCTGAAACTTTTCCCTCCTGGCTAAGCTGAGATCTAACAGGAACTGGACCCATTATTTCCCTGTGATCTCTATTACATCGTCGTCTTTGTCCTCATCATCATTGGAGCTGCATCCCACCTCTGAGGCCTCCTGGGATTCAAACTGAGGCACCTGGGACCGCAGGAGGCCCCCGGCCGGGTAGCCCGAATGAGGGGACATGTAGCCAGGGTAGGCAGACGCCATGCTCCTGGGAAGGCTGCTAGGCAAAACTGGGGATGGGAAAGGAGCAAACATCCTGGGCTCAGGCAGGAGTGACTGCGTGAAGGGAAGTGAGTAGCTGGGCAGCATCCCCGTCACAGAGGGGTTTAGCATGAACGAGGGGATGCTGGCGGTGGCTGAGGTAGCAGCAGAGGAGCTGGCGGTGCCGGCTGTCAGCAGAGGGTCAGTAGTCACAGGGAACACCAGCTGAGGGTCTGGTAGTAAATTGGGCAGCTGGTAGTAGGATGAGCCCATGTACACGGAGTTTCCTGCTTGGGGGGCAAATGGATGGGTTAGGTTGTGGTTTAAAGAAACAGGGGGCATGGTGAACCCACCAGAGACTGGGTACCCGTGTTCGTACGACTGAACAGACGTTGGCAGGTGGCGCTTTTTCTGCTGCCGACGGGCTGGTTCCTCCGGGACAGAGGGCGAGGTCGACTTGCGCTTGTTGCCCCGTAAGTCCAGCACTGAGTGACCATCGACATGTTGGCTGGTGGCTGGCAGGGCTGAAGAAACCGACGGAGCCAAGCAATGGAGGCCCAATCGCTGCTCAGCTCCCCGGGCTGCTAAGGTGGCCGCATTGTCTGTCCGGGCAGGGTGTCCGTGCACAGTGTTAGTGCTGGGGGAGTTGTGGCGAGACTCCCGGGCAGCGGCTGCCTCGGCATACTGCTGCAGTTCGCTGATGATCTCCGGGCTGTCAGGGGAAATGGGCCGAGTGAGCTCCTCTGTGTTAGGGAGCTTGGGCGACGAGGCACTGTGTCTGCCATTGCTTGTGGATTCCAGAGACGGACCCTGAGAGCCTGGAGGTGACAAGGAGATGGAGTGGGTGAGACACAGGGCGCTGGGAAAAGAGAGGAGGGGGGGGACTGAATAGACTCGGCATGGGATGCGGGGGGCGGGGAGGGGGCTGCCATAGAATCAGTCAGGGAGGAGAAAAAATGTGGAATTTAAAGAAGTGAGAAGAGAGGAAGCTCTTGGGCAGGGATGTAAAGCAAAGTCCCCTAGATACAGCCCTGGGGAAGACAGTGCGGTGAAACACCCCCCACAGAAACCCAACGGAGGAGAGCACTCAGGGCGTGTATCCCATGTAAGAATCTTCAGCCCCTACCTGAGGCAGCTGTTCGACGGTCTTCACCGCCCTTTGGCTTCCCAGTGGTCCGGATAGCAAAAATCCGCCCATCGCTGGTGCGGATGTATGTCCCTGAAACAGACAGGGAGGAAGCAACGGGTCAGACACACAAACAGCTCCATGCCCAGCTGCTGGCTGCCTGCCCCAGGGAAAGGCTGCAGAACGGGCAGGCAGGGAGAGAAAAGGGCAGCAGAGAAGACACACCAGCCCCTAATCCCCGAACACTTGATCTCTCTCTCCACGTCGGTGAGCATTGCCATGGGGCAATGCTGGTGTCACAGTGCTGTGCCAGTGTCAGAGGCCTACAGGTCCATTTCAGACAGGCCAGAGGCACCCAAACTGTGCCCAACTGGGGGCTGTGCTGGCAACATGCCAGGAGCCTGCAGCCCACATGCCATTTACCTAAAACAGAGCAGATTGTAAAACCAGGATGCAGCAGCTCCTAGGGTTGCACCTTGGCTAGCGACAAGGGCAGCCAGGGACTGTGTTCTTGAACACTCTCAGTGCTGGAGTGCCCCTGCACTCAGGTGCACACTGGTTCTCTCCTTTAGAGCCTGTCTCCAGTCTGTCCCTGAAAAATCCCTCCCTCTGCTTCCCTCTGCCCAAGGGTTACACACACATGGCTCTCCGCTGAATCACTGCAGGACCCGAATCCCCTTCCCATGCTCCCTTTTCTCCCCCAGGAGAGTCAAACGCATTTTCAGGTCATCATCTCTGCCAGTGGCAATGACTCTGGTTCCATTTTCCCTTATGCAGTGCTGTCAGTGTATTTCAATGGCACCCAACTAGGCTCTGTTGAGATAACAAACATAGGGTCCCTGTCCCCAGGGCCCCAACCGATCACCTCTCCAGTGTTACAGCACTGCAAACAGGCCAAGCCCTGCCCAATCTCTGAGAAACGATGCCTGGCCAGCTGCTCCACCGTTGTTGGGAGAAGGCTTGTGGAAAGAGCTAGAGCTTGCAATACTCTTGAAAGGTGACAAGACGGACTCCACTGGAAGGGAGAATGCGCCGCCACATCTCCTTACAGCCTGACCTGGGACGCTGTTAGTTGCAACTTCTCCACTGGTTGCAACAGTCTAGTAGGTCAAGAACTATTCATTCCCAAAACATGATAGAAGATTGTGTGTCAACATAATGAGATGGGCAACCCTGGAGCTTGAAATTGCTTCCATCCTCTTCAGAAGGGAAGGATGGCAGACCATTCCCGCTTTGGGGCACTGGCAGGAAATTACAATATCAGCGGCCTGGTCCCCTTCATCTCCCCATCATGGTTAAACCCACAAGTAAGGCCTCTGGTTTTTCTGACTCTTCAAGCTTTGAAGAAGCCTGTTTAGTAAATGCATCTTGCCAGCAGAGCACTGGAAACAGGAATTTGGGGGGATTCTAGTGTATCAGGGCCAGGAGATTAGCAGTTACTTCCCCAAGACAGGGATTTACCTTTAGTCCCCCGAATTATGTGGATGCTCTCACCAGCACTGATTCTCGCCTGCACATCGGTGGATGTGTTTGTGCCTGGAATCACAATATCTGGTGGAGAAAGCCAGCATTTGAGAAGTTACATTATGGGCTCAAAAAGAGTGGGAGAAATCCAGGGCTAAATTCCCTCACCACCCAGCTAGCTTCCTCAATAAATTCTGCTACAAATGAGGTCAGGGTTTTATTATGAGAAACACAGAAGGCATAGGAAGCAGAAGTGGAATCCCTTGGGACCGAGAGCCCAGAAAGGAGTGGGGATCAGGAGAAATGAAAGGCATGTTGTCCCAGTACACAAGCCCCATCTTAGAACATAGAAATAGGACTGGGCAGAGCACTGGAAGGGGTACCACAGTGCAGCACGCCTGGCTTTTGAAATATGTTTGGCCTGCAAACTGCAAAGAGATCAGGGAGCCCCAATCAGTATTTTGGGGCAGATTCACTGCCCTGTTTTACTCCCTTTTCACACCTGTGGTGCAAAACCTGCTGCTGGGGATTCTCCAGGTATGGGAGAATCCATAACAGGCGGAGCTGGCATAGCTGGCTCCTATGCCTCTCTCCCTGGTAGGCAAAGGTTAGAGAGGGGTAGGGAAAGGGAGTGGCTGGAGCCCACCGCACTCTGGCTGTCCTCAGCTGGTGTAAGGTCCCTAGCCACTGTTATAGCACTGCTCTAACCTATGCTGGGGCCAGGACAGAGAATCAGAGTCAGGCACTAGAACAGCCAGAGTTACTCTCTCCTCCGTCCCTTGCCATGCGGCAGGGGAGGTGTTGAGCAGCTGCAGTAGAGAACAGACAGCTCCCAGCCAAACTGCTGCAGGGGAAGCAGCACTCCTCTTGCCTCCAGTCTGCACTAATGGATCTTATTCCAGCACTTCAGTTTAAAAACCACAGCACATGCTTCAAGGGACACATTTCAATCCATAATCAGACACTTTTCTTCTTGACACAATCCCCCTCAAGGGGCTCAGCCGGCTTCTTAGGCCACAGATGAGACGCCATGGCTGTCTGGGACACTGTTCTATCCCCAAGGGATGGACTGCTTGTCTTCCATCTCTGGATCCCAGGACTCTGTCTCAACCAGCTGTGTTCTCAGGGGGACTTGGTTCCAAAGAAACGACTGACCTGTTGTGGTGACAATCTTCTGAACAAGGACACCAGCTCGCTGCAGATAGTTGATGGGGAAGCTGACAGCAGGGTTGGAACCAGATGCCGATCCCACGCCACCCAACGGGACATGCCGAGGCATCATAGGAATGGGAGTGGACTGAACAGGGCGGACGCTTGCCACTGGCTTGTCCTCGCCCTTGAAGACTGGTCGCCTAGTGGGAAGAGGGAAAAGGAAAGTATCAAACTGAGTTATGTTCTTTTGGAGGAAGAGTCCCAATTGTATTTGGTTCCACCATTCTCAGCCATTCACATGGGCAATCGTGAGGCTCTGCAGAGAGGAAATTGCTTGTGGAGGCAGAAAAACCCAAAATGCAAAGCCCTGAAACTCTTTGGCTCTGCTCCTGGTTTTGGAGAGAGGCAGTAGGAATCTCACTGCTCCAGGATCGCTGAGAGAGAGTGAATCGCTATATGGCAGGGAGTTTGATCTCTGAGTTAAAGCACAGAACTGGCAGTCAGGACTCCCAGCCTCTATTCCTGACTGTCACTGATCTTGGGCAAGTCACTTCACCTCAGTGTCCCCATCTGTAAACTGGGGGTGCTTTCTTACCGACGGCAGAGACATGTGGAGTGAAGGCAGATGATGGACAGTGACTCTGGATATTAGCCAGAAAGGTTGTGTGGGGGGGCAGGTCTTGACACTTTCACTATCTGTCTGGGCATAGTACCATACTGAGAGATGCAGAATCCATTCTCTCAGCCACAGCCATTGCAATCAGTGACACCCCCCTCCCACCCCACTGAGAAAGGCTGCCTGTGCCCCCAAGGCTGCAAAGGGAGCCTTCCTCCCTAATCAGCTGTTTTCCCCACCTTCCTTGCTTCATTCCCCTTCTTCATGGATGTGTATTTAGAGCTGGCAGGGGAAGGAGAGGGGGCATCACCCAGCCTCAGTATTCTCGTTTCCTAGGAGCCAAGTGAGAATGCCCAGGATAACAGGTTAGTTTTCATCTACCCCAGCTGTTTTTCCTGCCCCTGCCTGTCCCCTCGATTGAAGACCTCAGCAGAACATGGAAAGAAATAAGCACCCACCAATTCCTTTGACTGAAGGCAGGGATGTTTGTCAGGCTCTGGTCACTGGCTGGGTAATACTGTGCATAGGATGGACGGGTGTAGGGGACGGATGCTCGCTTCTCTTCCTCATAGCTCTTCTTTGCTGCCTTCTTCTCTGCCTTGGTCAACTTGTGCTCCTTCCGGTCAATCAGCAGCGACTCATGCTGGAAAGGCTCCTATGGTCACAGCACATAAACATACTTAGACACCAACATACCACAAGAGGGCAGTAGACGAACACAAATGACAGCAGTCCCTCCCTGTATCCCAGGCAGGATAAAATGGCAATTGGCAGGCTCTTGGCAGTATTCTGGGTGGGCTCTTGAAGAAGAGTTCGAAACTAGTGCAATAGGCACATATGGTTACTTCTTGTAAAGAACCTATGCACAAACTCCACAATGATCTCACCACAGAAAACTCACAGGAACATGCTTATTCACAATACCCACAACACGTGCAATACGATAGCATATAAATGGAGCAATTCCATTACTGCACTAAATGCCCCATAGCAGGCTTTCCTTTTAACCATGAATCTCTGTATAGAGAGACAGACAGGCAGACACAGTCCTTCATTTCTTCTCTCCTCAAACAGCCCTAACCAAACTACCCCAAACTGTGTTCTTCCTAGATGCTCTACCTACTCCTGAGGGCATTCTGCACCAAAAAATTAAAAATTCTGTGCACAATATTTTAAAATTCTGCAAAATTCTGCAGATTTTATTTGTCAAAGAAATGTGGAGGCTCCAGCATGGCACTGGAGAGCACAGGCCACTGGCTGCACAGAAGTGGTAGATCACTCTGCAGCTCCCCCCGGAGGACAGACTCAGCGGTGAGGCTGCACCCAACCCTGACATAGAGCAAAGACTGGGCCTGCCCCAGAAACACCCCAGTGCCCTGCCCCTCTGTGCGAGGTGCACCTAGGTGTGGGCAGGCAGGCTCAGCCTGGCAGAATCCAAGTGTGGAGGGGCTTAGTGTGGGAGGATCCAGGTGTGGATTGAGAGGGTTCTGTGTGGGGCCAACTGGGTGTGGGAGGTTCAGTGGGGGATCCAGGTGTGCAGGGGATCTGGATGCAATGGTAATGGAATGATGCAGTGGGGTCCAGGTTAAGGTGGTTGGGGCTCAGTGGGTGGGGCCTGGGAAGGTCTGGGTGTGGGAGAGAGAGAGAGCTTGGCAGAGCGTGTGGGGGTCTCAATGGGGGAGGCAGATGCTGGGGGAGTGGGACACAGTGGGGTGGCGATCCAGGTGCAGCTGGTTGGGGCTCGGTGGGGTGGGGATCTGGGTGCAGGTGGCTCATCGGGGTGGTCCAGCGGCAGGGGGCTCCTCAGGGGGGTTCTGAGTGCGGGTGTTGAGGCTCAGCGGGAGGGTCTGGGTATGAGGGGGTCTGGATACACGGCAGTTGGGCGAATGGGGGAGCAGCTCCCTGTACAGTGATCCCTCCCCCTGCAGCTGAGGAGCAATGGGGGCAGGAAGTGGTGGGGGTAGGGAGGGAGTTTGCAGAGATTCCTGCAGCTGGGGGAGAAATCTAGGGGTGGGTCTGACCCAGCCCCGGATGCTGTGCAGGGGAAGAGGAAGTCCTGTCCTCCCCAGCCCAGCCGGGACTAACAGCTGAGCCACCAGCCGGGTCTTCCCCCGTCCTGCCTCCTGCCCCACAGTGATTTACGTCTCTGCCAGCTGCCCTGGGCACCCAAAACATACTGCTGGGAAAGGTCACATGACCGCTCTTGTGACTTCTCTTTGCTTCCTCATCAGAAAGTCGTTTTTCTGCAGGGAAGCAAAGAAATCTGCGGGGGACATAAATTCGGTGCGTGATTCCCCCAGGAGTATCTACCAAAGGCCTAAGGAAATCTGCACATGAACCTCAGGTCTTGGTTGGAACAACAGTTTTCCTGATACCTGACACTGATCATGGACTCGTCTCGAGAAATGCACAGTCCCTTATAACTAATATTGTTTTGGAATACTCTTATCTTAACCAAGGTATCACAACACAGGCAGCTCCATTTTCTCCTGGGGCTGACAGTTACTCATTGAGCTCAGTGTCATCCCTAACTGGCAATGATATCTGGAAGCAGCATTGTGTATCTTTGTTCTTACCTTGGTGATAAGGTGAGGGTATTTGTGACAGGCTAGCTGTAAGACAGACTCCTTCATCTTGTTTGGGTCCAATGCCAGCTGGGCAGGATCAGACTCCTCTTCTACGAAGTGCAGCAGGTTCTCCACCTCCCTCCGGGTGAAGTTCAGCACTGGATTCAGATCATCCACAACACGATCTGGAGAATGGATGGAATGCATCGTTCAGAGTAAGGAGGAAACAGTTTACTGCTCTCTGCTGTACTCAATTTCCCAGCTCTTAATCTGTGCTTTCCACAGCACCCTGCTGTGAATATCTGCGGATGGACAGGAATCATTCCACTGCATTTTGAGACATGACCATGCAGGTGTTTGAATATTGACACAAATCAGGCTAGGGAATGCTTTGTTTTCCATATATTACAGCAAGGTGATGAGGGCCATTAATATCATGGCATACACAAACCTAGAAGCTGAAGATACTGTACATACAATATGGTTGATGAAGTTCCCCACCTCGCCCTTGCACATCAGAAGGCTGAAAATATTATGTGGACATTGTGATAAAAAGGCAGCTGCAAAGGCGAAGATGAGTAACTGGCGAGCCAGAACCACTGAAAAAGGCTCAAAAGTTTATAGTGACTAACCAGGGACTCAGGTTTCCAGGGACTACAACCACCAGATTCTGTTAAATTATTTTAAAGTTCTGGATAACAGCTGAGATCTCCATTCTCACCTCCATAAAGCAAAAGAGGCTGTACTATTTCCCTGGACTTGATTTTTGTGTACGTGTCAAGATGGGTGTGGGTGTGTGTCAGACAAAAGGAAGCATTACCAAAATCATACATACTCCGTTCATGGACTACAGAGTATAAGGAAAGTAAGCAAGATGACGTATTGGCAAAAGTGTTCAAGCCTACCTGACATCCCCTGCTTGGAGACCTGGCGATCATAGATTTTCTTCTCCAGGGTGTAATCCGAAACCAGTCGGTAAATGTGGCATGGCTTCCTTTGTCCGTAGCGGTACACCCGGCACACTGCTTGTGCGTCATGGCACGGGTTCCAAGAAGCATCAAACACCACCACTCTGTTTGCTCCAATCAGGTTGACACCCAAACACCCAGCTCTTAAACGAAACAAAAATTAAGTTTCAAAATAATTTTTCTTCCCAATCTTCAATATTTTTATACTTTAAGGAGTTACCATCCTGTATGGTCTTAAGCCAAATCTTTCAAACAGAGCAAGTGCAAAAAATTCTCTGGTCTGAATAGCCTCCACCACATCAATGAAACCCACTCTTTCACCCCTCCGTTCCAGGCAGGTGGCCAACTCACCGTGTGGACAAAAGGAAGAGCCAAACAGAGCTGTTGCTGGGGTCATTGAACTGGTTAATCAATCGTTCCCTTTCTGAGGCAGAAGTGCTGCCATCCAGTCCTGGTAAGAAAATTAGAGGGGTATTTAAAAACCCTTTGTAGTGTGGGATCCATCAAAACAAAACAGTTCCCGTCTGGTTCTTAGAGTGCCTGCACTGTGAAGAATGCCATTTCCCTGCAGACTCCATAGAGATCCAACTAGGGCAGAGCTTCCAGCCATTTCAGGCAATTGAACCAGCTTATCACAACAAGCCCTCACCTGTTCAACCCAATGCCCACATCCCCCCAGTCAAACATACACAGTGTAGTGAGCCAGGGAGCTCGGGCTGTGTCTAGCTGCAATATCGCATGAGTGCAAAACAGGAGTCTTGCATAGCCCAAGTTCCACAATGAGCTACAATGCATACAGCTAAACCAAAGACGAGCAGTTGTACTGCACTGGGATCCTACACAGAGGCTCATCATTTAGGTAAGAAGTCTGCAGTACCAGTCAGAAAAGCCTGAAATACCAGTATTGGTAATAGGTACCGTATATAATAGACCCATTGAGCTGGGATAGCACAAAAACAACGCAAGCCGCTGGCAAAACCCCACTGGACCAAACATGAGCATATGCAGAGGAATCAGAGAAGAAGAGTGCAGAAGGACAGTGCATACTTGTGGTCATGGGCAGAACTCACTCATGATGAAGAGATGCTGCCACCCAGACTTTGAGTTAAAAGAGGAGTTAGAGCAGTTTATACACACCTAGCATGCTTGCCAGGAGCTCTCAGGGACACCATGTCCATCCAGCTACCCTAAACACTCCTGTTGCCCTGGGACAAAAGTCAGCTACTGAAGGGGACAAAGACTAGAACAGGAGGGAAAACTCAAAACTAAAAACATGCACCCAAGATAACTCAAACAAATCGATCTGAAAACGGCTAAGAAAGAAAAACAGATCTGCACGCCCACGGAAAAGCACAGGTAAGTGTGGAGAGAAACCGGAGGAAATCGCTGCAACATCAAGAGGTTAGCCCAGCCGCAGAGGATCACATAGGGTCCCAGGTGAAGGAAGGAGGAGTCTGTACTCACTGTAATAGTTGAGATTTCGGACCCAGTTATGAACGCCTTGCACATCTGAGCCTGAAGGATTGGGCATTGGTCTCTTGGCCAAGAACTCCTCAATGACAGACAATGTGGACAGACTCTGGCTGCAAAAATCAAGGTCTCTGCTCAGGAAAGCCCCTAACAGTGTAACTAGAACAGCAGAACTCCATCTTTCCCCTGCTAGCACGGGACACCCCCTTACCACTGACAGCTATACGGATGAAGAGACTACAAAAATCAATGGACAACAAAAAAGATTAAACCAAACAATGGGGAAAGACCAAACAACATTGCATAGCAGTGGGCAGCTGTTATGGGGGAAACACCATCAGTCTCATTCTACCACTATCTAATCTCCAAACACACCATTGCTCAGGGCTCAGAGGAGCAGCCATTGATACTTCCTCTTACCTGAAGACCAAGATCTTGTCTCCATGCTTCACGCTTTCCTCAATCAGGTGGAACAGTAACACCATCTTGGGCGAGTTCTCCAAAACTCCTGTTTGGTAATCACACAAGATGTCCTTGGCCTACCCAGAAACAAGAGACTCGGTTACATGGGGAGGTACTCAGTCACTGGTTAGTTCTATAAAACGCACTTTCCATAAGAGGCTCCAGGCTCATGTACCCTATACAAAGACCCAAATCTCCACATAGCCCTCCCAAGTTCCAGACGCACACATCCCCATGTTGAGAATAACTGGCCATCACCCCTGTCATTTAAGTCTGGGGACTGTTAGCTTGAGCGTGAAAACTGCTGTGGCAATTCACAGGAAACAGCAGTCTCCAAGTGCCCTCATAGGACTTCAGTCTACAAAGTCAATGCCCTGAATTGCATCTGGAAGAGAACAGGAAACCAGTGCAATTCCTGGAGAACTAGTATAAAAGGTGAAGACAGCCAGTGGAATCTAGCTGAGGCATTCTGACAGCTGTAGCTTCCAAGTGATCTTCAAAAAGGTAGCCCCTTGTGGAGCATGTTAAAACAACTCTGTCTCAAGGTGACAGAGGAATAAATTACTGTGGCACAGTCTGGATCCAGAAGAGAGGCCACAAGCATCCAGGTAGGTCCAGATGAAAGGGGTGGTTTTGGCCACTGCTGACTCCCAAAGCCACAGAGGATCCAGGAGTTTCAAACTGCAGATTTCTTGGGCAATAGGTAGACAAAAACTCTTGAGTACAAGAACAGGAATCACTTCTGCCATATCCTCAAGATGCCCACTAGCATCACCATTGCCTTATTCTGCTTAAGTTTCAGCCATCTCACTCTCATCCAAGTCCTGATCTCAGCTATGCTGGTGAGAAAACACAGACACTGCACCATCCAGGTCTGATGAAAACAAGGTGTAAAGCACAGTGCCAGCTGTACAGTGGTCTCATAATTCCCATTAGTAGCCTTTTATACACACTAATCAAGACAGAGAGCAAGACAGAGCTTCATAGGAGAGATCATAGACTCATAGGACTAGAAGGGACCTCGAGAGGTCATCTAGTCCAGTCCCCTGCACTCAAGGCAGGACTAAGTATTATCTAGACCATCCCTGACAGGCGTTTATCTAACCTGCTCTTAAAAATCTCCAATGATGGAGATTCCACAGCCTCTCTGGGCAATTTATTCCAGTGCTTAACCATCCTGACAGTTAGGAAGTTTTTCCTGATGTCCAACCTAAATCTCCCTTGCTGCAATTTAAGCCCATTGCTTCTTGGCCTGTCCTCAGAGGTTAAAAATAATAATTTTTCTCCCTCCTCCTTGTAACAACCTGTTATGTACTTGAAAACTTATGTCCCCTCTCAGACTTCTCTTTTCCAGACTAAACAAACCCAATTTTTTCAATCTTCCCTCATAGGTCATATTTTCTAGACTTTTCATCATTTTTGTTGCTCTTCTCTGGACTTTCTCCAATTTGTCCACATCTTTCCTGAAACGTGGTGCCCGGAACTGAACACAATACTCCAGTTGAGGCCTAATCAATGTGGAGTAGAGCTGAAGAATTACTTCTCGTGTCTTGCTTACAACACTCCTGCTAAATACATCCCAGAATGATATTTGCTTTTTTTGCAACAGTGTTACACTGTTGACTCATATTTAGCTTGTGCTCCACTATGACCCCCAGATCCCTTTCCGCAGTACTCCTTCCTCAGCAGTCATCTCCCATTTTGTATGTGTGCAATTGATTGTTCCTTCCTAAGTGGAGTACTTTGCATTTGTCCTTATTGAATTTCATCCTACTTACTTCAGACCACTTCTCCAGTTTGTACAGATCATTTTGAATTATAATCCTATCCTCCAAAGCACGCTGTGGCAGGTGAGAAAGTCCAAGAACTAAAAGCAAGGTTTTTTTCCACTGCTTTTTTCCAATTTATAATCCGTGCCCTGCCCCCAACAAAAAGGTCATGGGCCTTTGACCAATTAAGCATTCAGCCCCTGTTTATTGAAAAAAAGCCATGAGACTCCTAGCTCTGAGGTTGGTACTCACCCACTCGTAAGTAACTACTTGATTTGCTCTCTCCTGAAAGGGGTTGAAGCCAATGCCCTGAAGGAACTTGCTGTTGGTAGCTTCTCCAACTGGTGATGCCAAAGCATTGGCCTCTGTTTTGACTTTTATTCCCTGTGGCTGACAGCGAGAATTAGTTCCAGCTGTGCTAAGGTCATCCACATCCAGGTCCTGCTCATTTGCCAGATTCTCTTTTTGCAGCGCCTCATACAGCACATCTGGGTGATTCCAGATCTGAGAGATGAAGAAAAGGTAAAAGGTAACACTGCACTAGCACAAACCCAACCAAGGCACCTGTGGATTTACAGCACCTCACATGCAGTCAAATGCTAATTCCCCTGCAGGAATGCACCAGCGATTTGTTAATCTAATTATTCCCCTCCAAATTCAGCTGAAAGGGAGTTTGTAAGGCACCACAAATTAAGCAGGTCTCACCGCATTAGAATATTTAATACCAGGGACTCTGCCTGTGTCATCTGAAGTCCTCTGTAGTTGACTAGCGTGGACTAAAACTTTGCCTGCTATAGAAGCTAGGCAGATTCCAGTCAACAAGTAAAAAGGAAAGTGCGATTTTGTCACAGCACAAGGTATATGCTGTTTCAACCAAGACATGTTACTAATTTTAATTATCTTAAAGCTCCTCTGTTTGGTGACTGATGAATGAACATACACAAGGCACACACATGCGTATGCAAACACAAAGTATGCAGCATGTTGTTTGCACTCTGGGAAACGAAGGATTGTCTTGCTATTAAAGGCTGGGACTTGGATCATCTGGGTTCAATTCCTGGCTCTGCCACAGACTGTTTGCATGAATTTGGGCAGGTCAATTAAACACTGTGACTCAGTTCCCCATCTTTAACATGGGAATAATCATAGAATCATAGAATATCAGGGTTGGAAGGGACCTCAAGAGGTCATCTAGTCCGACTCCCTGCTCAAAGCAGGACCAATCCCCTGAGATTTTTGCCCCAGAGCCCTAAATGGCCTCCTCAAGGACTGAACTCACAACCCTGGGTTTAGCAGGCCAATGTTCAAACCACTGAGCTATCCCCCCCCCCTGTGATAATGATAGTATCAGGAGACTATATTACATCATGCACAGGGACTTGCACACTATTGCTTAAGATGCACCAAGATACTGCACTTGTACTATATCTACATCACTCTTCTTGCCAATATTTTGACACAGCCTCCTACCCTTTCCCTGTATACTACAGGAGAAGCTACTCTCTTGCCAATACCCACCTTACAACAGACGCAGAAAGCCTTGAGTGGGTTCAATCCCAGCCAGCCACTGTTGCCTGCATCCCGGAACCGGTTCATGAACTCTGTGTAGAGAGCCCGTTGGATTTTTGACAGACGTACCAGAATGACATGTTCTTCTTTATAGGGAAGCTGAGCCTTTAGTACGTTATGGCCTCTCCTACAGAAGCAATCAAGAAAGGAAGATCAGAAGAGAGAAAGAATGTTCAGGGCTAGCGTCTCAGGGGCTGCCTTCAGGGTAAGATTTCTGATGACTGCAAAGAGAAGGAACTCTAGTTGTGAGTGTTTCTAATGCAGGACACTCAAAAGACATTACAACTGACGCCAAATAAAAAGTACAGTAAGCTCTATTACCAAAACAGCAAGCATTATAATACCCCAGGATAGTGATAAGAAAGGGGATGAAGGTCTTGCTAACCGTGGTGCTAAATCAGGAAGGATGCGCTTGTGACTGAAACGCTGCACTGGAAATTAAGAGACCTGATGTCTATTTCTGTTTTCGCCAATGACTTGCTCAGGCCACATCACTTACTCCTTCTGTGCCTCTGGGTCCTCATCTGTAAAACGGGGAGGATTTCTAGTCCCCCTGCTCTTCTCCCCCGTAAGAGAACTGTGATGCTTACATTGTTTGGGGTTTGTAAAATGCTTTCAGATCCTTGGATGGAAGATGATACAGAAATGCACCTACCAATCACCTACTAATACGTCTAATAAAGGAAGTTAGGGAACACTGTGCTGCCCTCCATCTGCACGTGCTCCCTCTACCAGTCCCACAGGACAGTACTGACAACTTTACACCTGCCACTAAGTCAGGGAGAAGCCCCCAAAGATCACTTCTTAACTGACAGACTAAACCAGACAAAGTGATTTTGAGAGAAACATGCAGGTGCTAACTCTGGGGTCCTCTCTAAGATTTCTCCTGTATGTCTACAATCTCCTTAAAGGACAACAGGGAATCCAAGGTAAAAATCAAGCTCAGGAAGACAACAGGAATTGCTGTAATGAATACACTCGTCAATCAGTATGGCTAAACTATGATCAAGGAGCTGACTGCACAGACTACATTACTGAACACTTGATGTGGACTCACCTCTGCACAAACCCCTCCAGCAGACTATGCAGGACATGACTGCGGTACCTCATGAGACGGACATCCTGCGGCGTACTGTCAATACACTGCCCGTTCAGGATGGGGCGCTCAAACATGTTGCTGAACTCCTGCCGCGTACCCAAGAAGTCAGGACGGACAAAGTCTACCATGCACCAGTACTCAATCAGGTTGTTCTGGAGCGGGTAGCCTGTCAGTACCACCCGCCGCCTGGAGCGGATGTTCTTCAGGGCCTGGGAGGTGCTGGCATGGCAATTCTTTATCCGGTGTCCCTCATCACAGATAACTACATCTGGACCAGGGCGGGATAAAGCCTTCTCGATCCCTAAGGGAAAGGAACATTGAGAGTTACTTGGTCAGCTGATGTTCCTGCTTCACGTAGCTCTCCAGAAGGAAAAATGAGTAATTATGAAAGTTGAAAAAACTACTACTTGTTTGTAGTGTTATTGCAGCTGGCCTGGTCCCAGGATATGAGAGAGACAAGGTGGGTGAGGTAATACCTTTTACTAGCCCAGTTCCTGTTGGGGAGAGAGACAACCTTGCAAGCTTACACAGATCTCTTCTTCAGACCTGAAGGATATTAGAGAGCAGGATTGAGACTGAGGAAGAGCTCTGTGTAAGCTCAAAAGCTTGTCTCTCTCACCAACAGAAGCTGGTCCAATAAAAGATATTAGTTCACCCACCTTGGCTCTCTAAAACTAATTTTTTGCAGGGAGCCAGGATGGCTCCGGGAATTGGGAAAGGGCTACAGGGCCATCAGCTCCAATCTGACCTAGGTTGGTAGTGACCCGAGTCACTGTCACGTGATGTTTATTCAGTGGCCTAGGCGAAGCAAGTTGGGAGTCTCAGTCTAGTTCCTAGTGGTCCTTCTCGTACACGTCTTCCACTAGCAAAACGTACTCATTGGCTCCTTTATTTGCATCCTCAGAGGAGAAATCAAAGACTGAATGGGTATGAACACCTTTCTAATTCCAAGAATGATCCTTCTAGAATAGGGTTGGTTCAGATCAGTGATGCTGATAGGCAGCTACCTATTCTGCACCTGCTCTGCATAAAAATTGGGGGACTTCAGTTTCTAGCTGAGTCGCTCCTGCATCTTTTGCTACCACTGAATTCATTCAGAACCTACACACGAATAAGCTGTTAGCAAATATATTGACTGTGTTAAAGATAACCACCTCTGACGTTGGTGCCTATGTACAATAAACTAACTATTTTCTGCTGCCAAGTGACCATTTGCTCATGGAGCCAGTTGGCTTTAGCAGAATCTCCCAGCTGCAATTCTGTAGAGAGGAGGTTATTTCCCAGCACGACTCGCCTCCCACCTTTCAGAAGCTCCTGCTGCCGGTCCTCCTCATCTAAGTCGATAATGACAGGGCCAGTTTGTTTCTTTGTTTTCTTCTTCCTGCCAGTGGCAAAGGACTTCTTCAGTGAGAGGAGACGGTACATCTCATAGCCCATCAGCAGCACCCCGCCATCCGTCACCCAGTCAGTCACCACCTTTGCACGGGCAGCAGTCGTCCTAGAAAAACAAACGTACAAAAAATGAGACCTCTTCCTTGGATACATCTGAACTCTCTGAAACGGATGCCTGCTAAAGGAAAGGACCTTTTCAAATGACTTAAAACATATGCTGGGATCAGACCAAACCAGCAGGCAAGTGCAATGAAGCCCTTTTACATGAAGACCTTGTAGAAGCTTCCAGCACACTGAGGGTAACATGGTAGAGAAAGGTGAACCATTATAGGATGTTAGTGGCCTCATGAAGAAGTTTGCTGTATATGAACCTAAATCAGATTTCACAGAGCAATGGAATCCTCTTATGGGAAGTGTTAGGAAAGAGACCTCTCCAAAGCACGTGTTTACATGAGGTACTGATGTATGTGGCTGTCTTACTCTACTACTTATCACACACCTATCCAGCAATCTGAGAGTTAGGTGAATTATTTCCTTTCCCTCCCACCAATATTAAGGACAGGCTCAGATACGAGGCTGTCCACTCCACCTTTCTCATACACCAGAGCATGGTAATCCCCAATCCAATATGAGATGCACATAAGAGGCTCGAAATAATAACAATTGAATAGGAAGTATATTCCTCTCGTGAGGTGAGGACCTCAGCGGCCAAGTATGTGTAAATGCCAGGTGAACTATGAGTGCCCTGAGATTAATATAAATCTCACCAGATTGCATGAGACAAAGTGACCAAGAGTCAAGCAGAGCTGCAGCAGCCAAAAATACACACTGTGTAAGATGAAAAGGACAATACTCTGCCTTACATGATCTCTCCCTTCTGTGTAGGAATGCTACCTCATTTAGAAGCCCTCAGGCACAGCAAAACTGAGTAACCGTTAAAATGTCTGCAAGAAGGAATCAGAGAGGAAAGTGAAAATTCCCGGAAAAGCCAAATAGAAGATTCAATAGCAATCATGCATATGGGCCAAGAGGCTGGAGGAAAGTACCCACCATAGACAAAACAATGCACTCTCTACTGGCCAATCCATACATAGCACAAGGTCTGGCATTTGAATTTTCTCATCGCAATGCACGAGGGGAAACGTGGAGCTGAGTTGACAACCATGATGGAGGAGAGTATAAATAAGGAATGAGAGAATTCTAACCCCTCATTAAAAGATGCACCTTTTCAATGTACTGAAATCTTCACGCAAGTGCATATACTGCAGACGTACAGAGGGAGAGAAACTAAAAGGACAGAGCATGGAATCAGATCAAATGAACAGACTGCAGCAGTGCTACAGAGACACTGATAATACAACTCCATGAGAAGCACATTAATTGCTCAGGAGGGGCATTCATGGCACCTACTTGTGTTCATCATTCAGGATATGGACTTTGAAGAAGCGTGGCTGAATTTCTTTTGGGTTATAATCAGCAGGGAGGGTTTCAGGTGCGGGGAGCCACATGTTGAATTCTGCCAGCCAGTTCTGGAGAGTGTTTACCTAGGGAGGAAAAAAATGCACCCAAAGGACTGAGAAAGTAGTTCTCAGACCACAAAATTCAGTCACCTAGCACTTAGAACTCAAAGTTAACTGGGGCCTGGGAATCACATCCAGCTGTCCTCAGCTAGAAAGAATGGGCCATGATACAAAATCTCAAGGATGGGAGGAATGAAAGCAGTAAAAATGGGAGTGAGGGTACCTGAGGGCTCTCTCTAAGGTATAAAGGACCAATCCATCCATCTCCCCACAACAATAAAAAAAGCAAGTCCTGACACTGCTTCACACAGGTTACTTACAGGTACAATGGCAAGGACAGTCTTTGCCTCCGTGTGCCGGAAAAGTACATCCAAGAAAGAGATGACCTGGATGGTCTTGCCCAGCCCCATGCTATGGGCCAAGATACACCCAAACCCACTGCTGCTTTTAAATCTCTCCAGAGATTCCACCAGATTATCATACAGGAACCGGATCCCACCAATCTAGAGAAAATAATGGAAGAGTTGCCAAAGAAGCGATGGAAAACAACAAAATGGAGATTGACATATATGCTGTATGAGTTTATATGGCATATAAATACACAAGGGGAAATTAAAGATTCATTGCAGTATTTTCAGCTACAAGGACTCAATAGAATTCCTTATAAAAAACTTTCTGAAAAGATGATCCTGATCATTCTTATGCTTGTGCAGAACCTACAGTCTTTGGGTTGGTTTTTTGTTCTTAAATAATTTGATAAAATAATGCTCATCGAAGCATGAGGTAGAGGGGAAAAATCTCTATCAATACAAGGGGGGAGGGATAGCTCAGTGGTTTGAGCTATACCTCAAGCCTGCTAAACCCAGGGTTGTGAGTTCAGTTCTTGAGGGGGCCATTTGGGGCAAAAATCTGACTGGGGATTGGTCCTGCTTTGAGTAGGGGGTTGGACTAGATGACCTCCTGAGGTCCCTTCCAACCCTAATATTCTATGATAATATCTGGTTTTGAAACTTTTCCGGGCATCACGCTACTCTAATAATTCTAAATACTTTGCATTTGACACTTGAAGGAATTTGATTTACAAACAATGACGTTATAAAGGTGAAAATATTCGTATTTCTACATATTCTGACAACGTAACAGCACAGGCTCTAGGACTAAGATGTCAAGAGCCTGCTTATCAGATAATAATAGTCAAAGAAATATGGGGCTCAGGATCTCCTCTAATTTCTCTCCATCGTTTAACTGTCTGCACTGGGCACTGCCACAAATCCTGGCCACAAGCTTCAGGGCAGCAGCTCTGCCAATAACATCACTATAGCAAACCATCAACCCACATGACACCAACAGCATGGATTTCAGCTCCTGGGATAAGGAGGAGGTTTTGCTGAAGTCCTTGTGTGTTCTGGGCCTCGACTTCCTGTACCTGGTGAGGCTTTACTGCCCGTGCAAGCTGCGGAGCCAGGAAAATGTCCTCTTCATTGGGTGGATGGTTGATGTTGACAATGACCTGCCCCAGAGAATCCGACTGATTTAAGGCGTCATTCACATGAGAGCCACTGCTCTCTTCAGTACCATCCCCATCTTCCCCCTCGTTGGCAGAGTCGCTGCTGTCCACAATCTGGAGGGCCTCATCCTCTCCTGAACTCAATTCGATTACTTCTGTGAAAGAGCCAGAGGCGGGAGGGGGCATTAACTTTTCACTGACTTGTAGACAGGAGTCAAATTCTGTTAATTTTCAGCAAAGGACTCAAAAATACCAATTTCAAATGCAAATTTGAATATTCAAATACAGTTTGTAGCCAATGCTTGGCCCAAGGTGCTTCGGCTCATTTTGGAAAGGTTAATTAAGGACAATTTGGGAGTGGGACTACCAGAATCAGCACTACATTCATAAAAAAACCTTTAGATACATAAAATCTGAAGACAGACAGCTTTGTGGGAGATCTGGCTGGATGCAACTGGGTAAATGGGACCATCTGGGAGATACAGGGATGTGTGATAGGTTGGTTGTGAGCCTTACCATCTTTAATGCTATGTAGTATGCCTTTCGTGTCATCTTCACTGCCACTGCTGGTGCTATCCAAGCAGATCACTTCCTCAGCTAGGACTTGAGGTGGAAGCTGAGTGGCCTCCGCTGTTCTTAAAACTATTTCTTCTACACAAAAATAGTAAACAATAGTTAGCAATACTAATAATAATCAGGAAAGATACAAAACTGTTCGGAGTTAAGTCAACATTCCCTTCTACACTTGCTCCAGTCAATCAGTCCTGGGATTTTCCATAATCAACTCTTGCTGTTTAACCTACTGCTATGTCTCAGCTTAGCGGGTCATTTCACCTCCTTTTCCACACCTCAATGTGCTCAATGCTTCTGTCTAAACAAAATTCCCATTGTTGGGAAGCTCCCTATTATAAGCCATGTATGGAGTATATTCCTCACTGAGGGCATGGCTACACTTGCAGATGTAGAGCGCAGTGAGTTAAACCCGCCTTCAGAGAGTGCAGTAGGGAAAGCGCTGCAGTCTGTCCACACTGACAACTGCTTGTGCACTGGCATGGCCACATTTGTGGCACTTGCAGAGGCACTGGGAACAATGCATTATGGGCAGCTATCCCAGCATGCAAGTGACTGCAACGTGCTTTTCAAATGGGGGGTGGGGTGGAGTGTGACAGGGAGTGTGTTGTGTGTATGTGGGGGGAGAGAGTGTGGGGTTTTGGGGGGCTGAGAGCATGTTGTCTTGTAAGTTCAGACAGCAGCAGACCCCCTTTCTCGCCCCCCCTGCCCCTCTCACTCACAGCATTCCACACTAATGGCTTGCATGCCAGCTGTCAGAAACGGAGCTTTGAAAGGGCATTTCCGCATTCCTACAGAAGTTCAAAACAATGACAAGAGTGGCCACTTGACTTAAGGGGATTATGGGACGTTTTCGGAGGCCGATCAGAGCGCAGTAACCCAACACCTCGTTCACATTGATGCCCGGGCGTTGTAGCCAAGGCGCAGCAAACGTTATTCCTCTTGCTGAGGTGGAGTACCAGCAGCGCTGTAGCCGCGGAATCAGAGCGCTCTACGTGCCTTGCCAGTGTGGACGGGGAGTGAGCTAGGGTGCCCGGGGCTCCTTTATTGAGCTGTAACTCGCAAGTGTAGTCAAGCCCTGAGACTCCAAAGCCCATTTCGTTCCAAAAGCTGAGAAAAACAGGATAATCTTTTAACCATCCAGTACCATACAACAAGGGGAATAAAGTTCCCTTTTCCTTACTTTGCACTACATCCTGTAGAGAAAGCACAAGTGCTTAGGCTTGGGGGCTAAATGGGGCCAGCTGTGGTCACCTTTTCCCGGCATTGCAATCTTGTGGTTACTCTTAAGTCTTTATGTTTGTGAAAAACATTTTTAAAATGTGAAGAGAGCATAACTAATACAATGTTGTCTCCATGGGTCTGCAGACAGCCTGGAAAAATAGCTCTGAGAGGTGTGAACTGCCTTATTCATTTCAATGGGTGTTGACTCTGAAGCCTAGCTGTTCTAATTTAAATATCTACATTGTCCAGTATTTCACTGCTGGTCAAAACATGAAAGAAAGAAGTGTGAGCGTTTGCACCAACTACTCAGAGTGATGTTCTGTTTTGACATGTCAAAACACAGACTTTGGTTTGAGTGTGGGACTGGGGCAGGGGTGGGCAAACTTTTTGGCGTAAGGGCCACATCTGGGTATGGAAATTGTATGCCAGGCCATGAATGTTCACAAAATTGAGGGTTGGGGTGAGGGCTCCGGCTGGGAGCGTGGCCAGAAATGAGGAGTTCAGGTGAGGGAGGGGGCTCTTGGCTGGGGGTGGAACAAAGGGGTTCGGAGTATGGGAAGGGACTCCAGGCTGAGGTAAGGGGTTGGGGTGTTGGAGGGGGTATGGGCTCTGGACTGGGGGTGCAGGTTCCAGGATGGGGCCAGAAATGAGGGGTTCAAGATGGGTTTGGGAGGGGGCTGGGGCTAAGGGGTTCGGAGTGCGGGAGGGGGATCACGGCTGGGACAGGGAGTTGGGGTGTGGGAGGAGGTCAGAGGTGTAGGCTCCGGGCGGCACTTACCTCTCGCAGCTCCCGGAAGAAGCGGCATGTCCCCCTTCCGGCTCCTACATGGAGATGTGGCCAGGTGGCTCTGCGAGCTGCCCCGTCTGCACGCGCCACCCCTGCAGCTCCCATTGGCCACTGTTTCCGGCCAATGGGCGCTACAGAGCCAGCAGTTGGGGTGGGGGCTGCCCCTATGTGCAGAAGCCGGAGGGGGGACATGCCAATGCTTCCCAGAAGCTGCGTGGAGCCACGGCATTCACGGAGAGGGGCAAGCCCCCCGACCTTGCTCCCTGTCTGTAGTGCAGGAGCGGGGCAAGCCCCCAACCCCGCTCCCCAGCAGGAGCTTAAGGGCTGGAAAGGTCTGATGGGCCAGATGCCCATAGTTTGCCCACCCCTGGGCTAGGGAGAGTACCACTTTCTGCTCCTCTTCAGCTGCTACCCTTAAAACTTGCTTTAGTGAACGCCCCTCTCTATTTACCTGGAAGAAACTCTAGCGGTACAGTGGGGATGGCTGCCGGATAATCCTTTCGCTGCTGCTCCAGCCTTTTCCTTCTCTCCAACTCTTCCAGCTGGGCTGCTTTTGTCACAGCCTCAAGCTGATCCTCCCGCAGCAGCTTTCTGAGCACATGGGCAAACACAGAAAATGTTATTTCATTACACCCAGAAACAGACTATCCTAAATAACTTGGATGGTTTCACAGCTGACCCACAAGAGGAATGACAAGCTCCAAAAAGAACGTAAGCTAAACAGACAAAGGACATCATAGCCAAAAGCCATAGCATGACAACTACAATTTTAGGGAAGGCTGCTCACTTTTTTAACTGCCTGTAACTGCTATTGTTTTATGAGGAAAAGGCTCGTGTTTGACAGGAGCAAAATGTTGGATGGATGGAAAAGGTGAGTGGACAAGTGTGTGTCTATGCTGAGATGCCTAGTAGCAGTAAACTTGAAAGGATCTTTCTGTAAACAGCAGAGGATATATATATGTTATTTATTTCTATGGTATTAGAGTCCACATATAGCAGCAATGGCACAACGTCAGGGAAATTTGTTAGGAGACAAAGCACCTGTCTAAAAGCTTTCAACAGCAAAAGAGGAAATAAGTACTTTCAAGTCACTTTCCTATTCTCCTGGTTCTTTCCAGGAACCATGACCCCACATGCATTCCAAATATGCTTAGGGGTTAATTTAAATACACCACTTTACAGGTAATCCCATGAGTTTTGGAAAGTTCCATTTTTTTCCCTTTCAGATTAATGTGAAAGGTGTGAGATTTGCAGCTCTGAAGACTGAATTCCTCTATCCAGAATATAGGTACAGTCTGAACAGTGGCAGTCCAAGACTTCCCCACCCTGTCCTGCCAATTCACTCTAGCCCTCAAATGTAGGAACCTCCTCCTCTATGAATAAGGAGATATCTTGGTATCCAGGGCCCACTAAACTATTGTTCCTTGGGTTGAAGCTGCCAACAAGAGGGCTAATTAGTACTAATTGCCATGTGAACCAGATCAAGACCACTAATTCTTTTCACACAAGGGGCATCAAACCGCCATCAGCTGGTGTAAGGCTCCACATTCCATTATGACTCCTCTGAGACATCTAGTTCCCTGTAAATAAATGTTATCGCAAACTTCTTACAGCCCTACATCCTGTCACAGAATATAGGAGGGGATCTAAAAAAATCTCAAATTACTACAATGTAAAATGAAGGAGAAACTGATTTTCAACTTTTTAGTCACTGGCTGTGCCCTGAGCTTTCTTGCAAATAAACACCTAAAGTAGTGCAGGGAAAGGATTTATTTTAGGCTACTTACAATATCATCAGCTCTAGCAGAAGAGAGAGACACCCTGAACTCAGGCATTGATTAGAATGTAATGGTGGAACTGATTTTCATGTATTTGGTTTTAAAACCTATATGTGAATTATTTTGCTAATTTCATATATTTGCTGCTGTGGAGCTGAACATGTTAATTTTCTGAGATCTCAAACAGTTTACTTGCACCCCGCCACAGGTAAAATGCTTTAGTTTTAAGAGATTGTCTGGTTTGCTACAGAAGCTGCTGGCAAAAGCCTAGAAGCAATACAAATTCAACTGAATAGACTCCACTTTCCCCCATTAAGACTGTGGGACCCTCTGCCCTTCCCAATTCTATTGCTGCCCACCTTATGTTCCTCCTCATGTGAGAAGGTTTCTGAGCCCTCTTCTTTTTGGTGTCCTCAGAGGCCAGGCTCTTGTGCTGGTTCTGCAAGAGTCGCTCCGCCCGCTCGCTCTGAGATGAGGTAGTTGAAGTAGAGCGTTGCCATTCCCCATCCTCCCCATGCTGAACATGGTCACTGCTGAACACATCTTCCTGGGGCTGGTCTGAAAAGACAGAGCAAGAACAAATTGAAAACAACCATCCCATGTTGTCAGTCAGTTTTTACACACCTGCTAACCCCAGTCCGAGCTCAAAAACCAACTGGAATCATTCATCCCTCTTCTGGTTCATTTGGTTGTATGTTTCTTTGAAGGCAAAAATTGTGAACTGACCTTTCTGCACTGAAGATGCTACTGAATACAGTGTTAAAGTTCTCAGGTCAGTGTCTGTCTCCTGTGAAAGAAAAGGCCGCACCACTAAAAACAGAGCCAGAGAGAAAAAAAATTCTAGGGCCCTAACATGAAAACAAAGTGAACAGATTCTAACTCAGGCACAATCTTTTCTGGCCTGAGACTTCACTTCCTTCTAGCAGCCAGAATTAGTATTGATTAGGAGAGGGAGCGAAAAGTAGCCCATAACCATTTATACTGCATTTGGGCAACCTACAAGTCTAGATGCCGCTAAAAGTCAATGTGCGTTAGATGCGTGCTACTAAGGCTATAAGAACGTAAGAATGGCCATATTAGGTTAGACCCATGGTCCATCTAACCTAGTATCCTGTCTTCTGACAGTGGCCAGTGCCAGACGCTTCAGAGGGAATGAACAGAACAGGGCAATTATCGAGTAATTCATTCCGTTGTCCAGCCCCAGCATCAGGCAGAGATTTTGGGACACCCGGAGCATGGAGGCTGCATCCCTGACCACCTTGACTTATAGCCATTGATGGACCTATCCTCCATTAACTTATCTAATCCTTTTTTGAACCCCGTTATACGTTTGGCCTTCCAAGAGGAACTCGTTGCCCGGGGATGCTGTGGAGGGAAGTTCCAACAAGCTTTGTAAAAAGAAAATGGTCCAGCATTCCACGAAAACTGCTGTCCAATTTTAACAGCAGAGGGATAACCTGCACCCCATCTCAGGATCAACTCTGCTCCTCCTATACAAAGAGTTAAATCAGAGAACTACAATGACTGGGAAAGGGTCTGCCTTTGAAATAGATAAGCGGGGGGCGGGAGGGGGGAGATTGTGACAAGAAAGAAGAAAACAGGCAATATGTCAGTGATACCAGCATCTCTGGAAACTAATGGAGTCCCCCCCTCTGAAAGGAGAGCACTGGCCTGCTAAACCCAGGGTTGTGAGTTCAATCCTTGAGGGGGCTATGTAGGCATCTGGGTCAAAAAATCTGTCTGGGGATTGGTCCTGCTTTGACCTCCTGAGGTCCCTTCCAACCCTGATATTCTATGATTCTATGCAGAAGGAGAGATGGCTGCGGTAACGAAGAGTACCACACTGTAACACGTCATGCACACAGATGCCACTAGAGGCTGCCACATTAACACACCAATTACATTAGTCTTGCCATCAATTTCTTCCCCTCAAAGCTGGGGTCCCAAGAACAGTATTTTGCTAGCTGAGCAAAGTGAACAGTACTGCAAGCTCAGTCCAGCAGAGATTCCGTTAGACATCTCCCAGAACTATTTGCATTTGCCCCCAATCTAAATCAGAATTAATGCAGGACTTCTGAACACAGCAGATCCTGAGCCACAGAATGGGCCATTTTCTATGCACATCCATACCATTAAGCCTTGTCTACGTTAGAAGAATGGTTATCAGCAACAGATGCCAGCAACAGGTACAGTTTACCTTGTGCTGAACGAGGAACACGGTTTTGCTGCAAATGTAGACATAGACAAACTGATTTCAGTGTTATGAACCTGGTGGGTTTTCTAGCATAGACAAGGCTTTAGAGTCTAAGGGTACGTCTATACTTACTTCCTGGTCCGGATGTAAGCGATAGATCTTCTGGGATCGATTTATCGTGTCTTGTCTAGACGCGATAAATTGATCCCGGAAGTGCTTGCCGTCGACGCCGGGTACTCCAGCTCAGCGAGAGGAGTATGTGGCATCGACGGGGGAGCCTGCCTGCCGCGTCTGGACCCGTAAGTTCGGACTAAGGTACTTCGAATTCAGCTTCGTTATTAACGTAGCTGAATTTGTGTACCTTAGTCCGAAGTGGGGGGTTAGTGTGGACCAGGCCTAATACTACAACATGCCTCCCTAAACAAAACAGGCTCACAGACCATGCATTATATTCATTTACAGGGAGAAATCGGCGCTCAGAAAAGAATCCAGTTTCCTGGGCTTCCCAGATAAGAGCTCTGCCATTTGAGTAAAGATGCAGCTTGGTCACATTACCCACAGGTCTTTAACATTGCTTGGTCTTGATTCACAATTATATAACTAGATCAAAAGACTGGATAAAATAGGGCAAAGAGAAACAGCAACAGCAGCAACGTGACCACATTCTACAGGATGAGTCATTAAACCAGCAACTTTCCCAGAGCCAAACAAAGCCATTGGTTTCCCTGCTGCCATCCTACCCTGAGCCCTTGAGACCTGGACACAATTAGAGAGGACACAAAGTCATGTTCATTTTGGAGAGGGAACCATCTCTCTTTCTGTCCCCTGGCAATTACTGATGCAGCACTGGTTCTTCCCTTTGCACTGACTATTCTCCAGCAGAATACCAGTAGAGGGTACTGCAGGGCAAACACAATTCAGAATCTACACAGAGATGGGTGGAGCGGTCTCCAATACACGTTTCCCTATCTGTCTTTCAGTCTCTCTGCATACTTACTTTTCTGCATGTATTTTCCTTCCTCTCTTCTATATTTGCGACAAACCATATTTAACACATTAGGTGACATACAGCTGTGCTCAGAATTAAAAAAACCAAAACCATTCTTACCTGAGCAAGAATATGAAATTCAACTCTGATAAAATGGTTTGTCCCTGTTCAAACAAAACATAACTTGTCAAGCTAGAACCTTGTTCAACCATAACCATATTTCATTTAATAGTTAAACACAATTGTTTGCCCTGTATATACAATTCCTAAGATGAGGACTGCAGTCTGACAACACACATCGTATATACCATCTGGACAATAACATCTTGTCCACATTAGGGACTGATCAAAAAAATCTCATTGGTTCAGCTGAAGTGGTATTAGAACCAGTAGGAGCCATCGTGTAGCAAGGTTCCCATAGCTGGGTGCATTTTTACCACTATGTTAAATAAAGCTCCTTTTCAGTAGGCTTAACACACACTTAAACCACCAGAAGATACTGGAATCTTGTCTAGGCTACAATTCCCAGTGGCTCTAACACCTGTGCAGCTGAGCTGACATTAGAACTAGTAGGGTTTATTTTTGTTACATTCCCTACTGTAGACACAGTTTAAATCTTGTGCTAAACACTGATCTCCCATCAGTCTTGCACTAGTAACACTTTTTCTCTTTGTGACAGAGGGAGTGAAGGAATGTTACAGCAGGACTGCTCCCACTACACATTCAATTGAACTGCTAACCTGACACAGCTTCAAGAAGCAGCTTTTTTCACAATGTAACAATTTGTCAACCATGTTTGCACATCCCCAGCTGCCTAACCACGTTTACACCATCAGTACCCTCTGGGAAAGTCTGGGCAGTTATTCCATACTGCCTCAACCAAGGGAGTGCCACCAGCAATATGTGCAGCACTGCACACTGGATAATCCTACCCACGCAGGGTTCTGGAGGAAAGCCCACCAGCCAAACTGGCTGCACTGGCATAGTTTGGGGGTCTTAGCTAAACAACAGAGTTACAACCTGGATACACGACAATAGTCATGTGCCAGCTCGGGCAGCTGGCAAGGATGAATCTGGTTTAGCTTCTGTGGTTACTAACCATGTATCCAATGTGCTGCGTGTCAACACAAACCACATTTAGAACCAACTAGACTGTAAACACTTTCGGACAAGGACCATCTTTTTGTTGCGTATTTGTACAGCATCTGGGCACAACCAGGTCCCAGTCCGTGACTGGGGATCCTAAGTGCTATCACTTGTATTAACACAAATAAATAATAGTTATGTCACCAATTGTTTACTCATTCAGCTAAAGGCTAGCCTAGATGGAGGCACAACGGCCCTTCTACACTAACAATTAAGTCAAGAGACCTGGTTACAACATGGCTCTAGTTTGTAAGGCAGACAGGATCATGACAGTGTTCTGTACCTGGACCTTGGACACACCCCATCTGCACGAGAGATTAGAATGGTTTTCTAACAATTTCTAACAAATCAGACAGCTGCATTGTAATTAGGTCTCCTAACTCAGATGTGTAACCTGCCCATATATGCTCTGTCTGCACTATCCAATTGCACTGATGCAAGTTTTACTGCTGCAAATGAACAGGTGGAATCTGCAGTGGTGTACAGCATGCACAGCAAGCATCTTCTGATAGGTGCACAAAGTGTACCACAACCATACACAGCCCCTGGAGCCACTATTTGAAAGCCCCGGGGATTGTTGCAAATATCCCACAATGCGCAGCACAACTACCAGGAGCAGGTTCATATTCTCTATGGTTAGGCAGTTGTGCAAAATTATAGGTTTTAAGCATTTTTTATTTTCATGTATTTAAATGTTCACAGTTGTGGAAAACTAAGGAGGGGGGATCAGACAATTATTTAATGTGAGTAGATGTTGATATTCAAAAAGTTAAAGCTTTGTAACTGTTAAAACACAAACTGTCAACATCACATGTCAAAATATACAAAGTAAATATCCTTAAATCAAACTCTAATAAGTTCTCAAGCAGCATTTTTCTTACTTTCCCAATCAGTAAATTTCTATCATTATTGCTGGATATATTTTTCATGGGTTTGTGTGTGTACAGTGACACCAGCATTTACCGATATTTACCAATAAAAATCTAATTTTTCCAAGCCTATCTGTGGTGTACAGTATACATTTCACACAGTTCTGTCCTGCACAGCAGCTATAAGTGCACAGAGGAGCATGGACTACACTTTATATTTGCAGACTCCATAGCGGAGAGTCAACTGCTTCCTCTCCAATCCATGGGCGGCGTGTATAATAGGCTGAGGAAGGCTGTGCCTCCCCAAACAGCCCCATGTGTCCCCGCTCACACTCCGCCCCAAGGCCCCCTCCTGCTGCTA